TTGATTTTAACCAAAAGGCAACCAGTGGAACTGCTACTCACAGGGCACAGGAGGTCACTTACCCAAGAAAATCAACCATCATAATACAGCTTTGCAATACACTTCATCCACAAGTGAGCTAGAAAGGATTAACAAAATAAGTGATGCTAAAATATTGATAGCTGCCTCCCCCCAGTCCTAATTGAAAATGGCAGGTAAAATACTGGTTGATCACTTTGAAAAGCTGTCACCATCAAATGAGGGGAGGATTTGATGGGAGATGAAAGCCAAGATTCTTAAAGGAATCAAAACAATTATCAAGAGAAATAGTTGTACTTAAAAATATTTATTTCCACTATTCTTTACTATCGGAGAAAACCTTTTACACTTTCATATTTTTGTTAAAGAAATAAGCAAGCTGAAAGAACAATTTCACAAAAGAGCTGTAAAATAGTACTTTAGCTAACCATAGGTTTGTGAGCATGAATTTGAAAAATTGCCAGGTGGTATTCCTACCAATTCCTGAAACCTATTTGGTAAAGTGATAATAGCTGTCACAGGATGGGAGTTTTTAAACTAACCAAGTACAAGGTAAAGTTAGTAAATAAAGGCAGTAGTTAAAGAGGACTCACACTGGTAATGCATTAAAGTAATACTGAGAGCAATCCAAATAAAAATATATCTGAAAATACCATGAAGTTCTAGATTTGTAACTGGAATATTATATTGATATTAACTTTATTAAAGACTGCTGCTATGTTAGCTCTTGTGAGTAAAAGAAAATCTGGTAAATATGCTAAGAAACAGAAAAGTTTTAAAGTCTATTTTCAAATCATTATAAATGCAACTTTGTATATGGCTTTCAAAAAAGGAAACATTTCAATATTCTATAGGCAATGTGCAAGGCTGTGTTAATCTTGGGCTAAGATACCACAAGACAAGTTACCCCAAAATCCACTTTTGGAGAAAGAGCTGAATATAAAACATCTCTTATATAAGGGCTGTCTCACTGATTCTTTTTTTTCACCTTTGGTAATTCAGAATAATGTTCTAACTTTAAGAAGACAATTTCTATTAATACAGAAGCAAAATATTATGGTTTAGGAAAATTAAAAAAAAAAAAAAAAAAAAAAAAAAAAAAA